CGTCTTATTCTTAGAATTGAATACTGTAAAACTGATCAGGTCAGGCGAAAATTTAAAAATCCAGCCTGGTCAGGCTAGCAGCTCTGATATACTCCTATTTTATCTGACAAAGAAGCAAGGAATTAAAAGATCCAAATGCTTATAGTGTATATCACTAAAACTCCTATGTATATATATGTTATATTCTAAACCTCGCTATCGAAATAAAAAAGTTTATTTATTTCATTAGAAGCGAAACTTTTGTCGTCCACTAATCGGTCATTTCTCTTCATTGTATCTTTATGTTAACTAATATAGAATGACTCATGATTTGATTTCTTAGCAGATTCTTTTAAAATATATATCATTTTTTTTTTGATTCAAACTCACCGAGTAATTCTTCAACTATAATCATTTAAGTTTAGTATACTTTAATAATGACTATGCTGCTGACATAGGTGTTAAATAACAATTCATAAAAATACTCACACAAGACATCTCCCTTGAAATACATGAATATTTCAATCATTACAGAGTAATGGATATTATAAATCAAATTAAAATAAGTTCAAGGTATATTTTTTATATTCATTTCCAATCATGATTATGCTTTGTCTGCATCGTGGGTGGATACAAGTAAAGAGAATGCAAACAAAAACACCTACACTCACAAATGATTATTCTTTGATTGATCCATGCAAATATTCTTCGATACATACAAAATGATTACTGACAAAAATCGAGAAATAAAATAACTTATCATTCACTCCATGTTGTGATGCAAAAGTTTTCGATTATATTTGAAGAATACATCTTGTCAAGCAGTATAAAACAAGTAGTTCACATTTCTTATATTGTTAAGTAACAACTAGTAAAATTAGCGAAAAACTTTTTATGTATTCATGTAGAAAATTTCATGATACATCTCTTCATTAATAAAATAAGTAGAGTGCTTGAAATGTATAAAGAAAAATCGAGCGTAAAATGACCTATTTATTCTGTATCACCTCATATATTTCCAGTGCACCTATCGAGAAAAAAAATATAGGTATCTCTCTTCAAGGTTCCTTCATGTTTGGACGCAATGTGTATTCATGCATAGTCAAGTATAACATGTGCATATTGATAAGTAAACGAACAACATTTACTTTCGTATTCTGTATTTTTCACCATCATCGACACACCATTTGCATAGATAAAAAGTTGCAATTGGTTGATTTCGACTCAAGCTTAAGTAAATACAATAATAATATTTACTAGAGCGTTTTACTTTCCAAGAATAACTTTCTATAAAAATGCACCGTTCTTCTAGCATCAAGTGATATGAATCCATCAAAGACAATATGTCCACAAGAAACCGATAGATTCGAACTTTATAATACAATGAATCCATCAGATTTTCAATAGGATAATAAAATTTTGACAAACTATCATACGGAAGACATTGAAAATGTCAAATCATAACTCGACTAAATTCCGAAGGTTTGAAAATTCAAGAATAAAAATACTTGGACTCAAACACTTTTTTTGTTTTACAAATTACAAAATTAATCAAACGTTTGTTTTTTATACAAAATCATTTCTACACAAGTTGTTAAACATAGTTGTCGAACATCAAATTTTATGTAAATATCGAGTTTAAATATTATTCTCATACAATAACTAAAAATGTTCTTCAATTATTTAGTTTTAATTCAAAATTTTCAAGATTGTTTTCTTTTGTAATCTAATCGTACAGTGAAGTGTAATAAATATCACAGT